AAAAAAAAAAGCCCTGCAATGGACACGCAACATTGACAGCCGATGACGGCAAGAAGCGGCGAAGGCCCATCGACGCCTCCCGGCCTCCATCGGCCGTAGTCGTGGCCTGGCGATGCCAGACGCTAACTTGCAGATTGCAAGAGGATGGCAAGTCAAGTCAACCCGCCGACATCGACGGGCACGGGCCTGCAACTGAGAATCTAAGCGGAAGGTGCCGTTGTGGGCAAAATAAAACAGCATCGACGGCGTCAGCTTAACCCAAGTGGTCTGCCAGCTTCCCAGTCACACCCCTATGAGCTTGAGCCCTAAAGATTCTCTTGTACCGACGCATCCAATCAGTTGAATAATGAACTTGGGCTGGGCGCTGGGAAGCCAAAAAAAAAAAAAAGAGTCGCGTCAGAAAAGGCCCCTTCCTCACAAAATTGGGCGGTCGGCAGCGGAGCAGCAGCAGACTCGCAAGCGAGTGGGGGATGACAGGGATCCAGCAGGAACGCTTTTTCCGGCCTTTTTGCCGCGACCCACGGGACCTTCGGAAACGGGTGGGGGTGGAGGCGGCCGAGGGATTTCGCGATCCCAAGAGCTGCTATCGATGCGTCGATGCCTCCACGCCACCAGACGCACTGACCCGCTTTTGACCAGCATCGCTCGCTCACTCTGTTTGCAATCAGTAGCATCGAGCTCGTCTTGAGCTACAGTGTAGCATGAAAAACGCGCAAGATAAAGGCATGCATGGCAAGACGTTCAGTCTGGAGTGATGGATGGCCTTGGTCTGTGCGTCCACGTCGTTGCTCCGAAAAGAAAAAAAAAGATGGACAATATCGCCTATCGCCATACGGGCCACCAGCTCACAGAGCGTGCAAGTGTCGCCGCCTGATGAGCAAAGTGTAGCATGAGCGAGATCACGGCTAGAGCGTCAAGAGGCTCGGAAAGTGTCGGCATATCGACGAAAGCAGCAGGGGCAGCAGCAGCAGCCTCACAAAAGTGGCGGCAAGCCGTGGACCGTACCGACCCCCACCGTCCCGAAAGCGGTGGAGATCTGTTCCAAAGCGGGTCGACCGCAAGCCGATCTAGTCGTGTCTCCACAATCTGTGTTGGATCATAGATAGCTGAGACGGCCAACGTCGGCATGGCCATAGCCTCATCAGCTCGTCGCCGGCCATCTGCCGCCTGATAGCCCTTATCGGACCGGGGCGGCTAGCCAGGATACGGGAGCCATCGAGACACGCAGGGGGAAGCGCGGAAAATATGTGGCGCGTGGGCAAGGGTCGCTCGCTCGCGGGAAGCTGCACGGACGAGGGCTTGAGCGAGCGGGGGGCTTCGTATGATGCCGACCCTAGGCATCGGCCAAAGGGACCATCGCCGCCCGCTTTGACCGCCGACCCTCCGACTTTCTTGTCGATGAGCGTCGCCCGTCCACTCTTGACCAAGGAGACAAGGACAAGCGAACCGCCACTCCCTCTCCTGTCGGAAACTCGCCGTGACCTCTGCCTGACGGACGGTACTCTGCGCTGCGCTGAAGGGTTCACTGGGAAAATATGCGTCGTAGAATTTTTTATTTTATTGTTTTTTTTAATTTTTTCGGAATTCTGGCGGTTGTCTGTGCATTTTTTTGTGTTGCGGGGCGTTGGCGGCGAGTTTGGACCAACGCAACGCTTGTTGGGGCTCGACGCGGCGCAGCCACCAAAAAGAGAGTGTTGGTTGGGCTTCGCAGTGCAGAGGGCGGCTGCTGCTGCTGCTGCTTCTGCTCGAAGCAGTCGGGCCCCTGCGCTGCTCCAGCTCCGAGCTTCTCATCATAGCTCGCCTCCTCGTTGGCCCCCACCGGTCTTGCCACCACACCATCACCTTTCCATTCCATCCCCTCTTCAGATCGCGGCGCCTTCATATCAAAGCCCTGCATCTTCGTATCCGCACCTTTCCGCTGAAACCGAGTGACGACGGCTTTGGCTTCTTCTTCCTCCTCTCCAACTCCAACTCGATCTTCAGCATCCTGCTTAGCGCTTCCATCTGACGACTGGAACCTCGAGCTCGACCGCCGCAATTCTTTCTCGCAACTCTCGCAACTTCCGCAACGCGAGCTCTCCTTCTTCTTCCGCCTCTCGAACGGAAGAGTCGCTTCATCTCTCCTTGCAGATCCACGAGCGTGCTGTTTGACGACCAGCTTGCTTCTCCCATCTGCCGGTACCCCCCCTCCGCCGATCATATCTTCCGCCCTCATCACCCCTCCTAGCTTGCCACCATGTCGGCTGTCAAGAACAACGCCCCTTCGGACGACAGCTACGTCGAGGTCTCGACGGCTAGCAGCCAGACCAGCAGCAACGGCAATGCCAACGGCACGCTCCTCCGTGCTCTGACCATCGCATCTACTTCGGGTGTGGAGGTGCAGATCCCTGTGCCCTCCCAGCCTTTCGACGCCTGGATCGTCGCCGACGTCCTTCGTGAGGAGTTCCAGCGCTCGCTGGCCGCTGCTCCCGAGGTCACCGACGTGCTCGAGGTGCAGGAGGAGCAGGAGGACGCCGGTACTGCCGACAAGGCTGCCGGCGAGGCCAAGGTCAGCCTCGCCGCCAAGTTCCTCGGCTTCCTGGCCTCGCGCGCCACGGTCAAGTCGTCGAGCCACGAGCTCAACCTGCTCCACTCCACCTGGATCCACTTCCACGACCACTTTGTCGCCCAGCGCGGCAGCGTCCACGACCTCGTCGCCGCTCTCGACACGGACCTGCGCATCTCTGTCCTGCGCAGCTACTTTGAGGCCTTCGCCCAGCTCGAGTCGGCTGGCAAGGCCAAGCCCGCGCTCATCACGCCCAAGCTCTTCTCGCTCTCGGCCCAGAACAAGGCCGAGGTGCACGCCGTCTTCGGTGGCCAGGGCAACAATGAGGTAAGTTCCTTCCCTACGATCCAGCATTCCTTTTCCTTCTCCCGTCGTCGCAGTGTCTCGAGCAGAGATCCTTCGCCATCGTCCACATGGTCGGTCGCTGCCTTCATTTTTTTTTTGAACGGCAGCGTTCGGTGGCCGATGCGCAAGTCTCGGCTGCTTGCCGCAGTGTCTGGCACGGGCAGAGTTGCATTCGGCTGTGGCCGAATTTCCTCCACCCCAAGCCTCGCTCGCCTATTTCCAAAGTGTTGGGGTCAGCGCCACGCTCCGAGCGCGGCTGCAGCGTCATTTCCGATGACGCTCAATTTCGCCGTGTCCAAGATCTTTCTTTCTGCGCAGTCTCTGCCCGTTTTTGACCCGGTGGAGCTCGGCGAAAGCGGACTCGATTCCGAAAAAAAAAGAGAAAGAGAGCGAGCGCAGCGCAATCGCTTCGGCTAGAGACTCAGACAGACACGACCCTGCATCGGGCACGGATAGCCGCCCGGAAAACGCGCTGGCGCGGGCCTTCAAGCTCACGTCGGACGATGTTAGGCTGGAGAACCAAAGACTGACGTTCCCATTCTATCTGCTTCTGATCTTCTCTGCAACACAGGCCTACTTCAAGGAGCTGCAGACGCTCTTCGATGCCTACCGACCTCTGGTGCAGCCGCTGCTGGAGTCGACGCAGCCCATCTTTGACCAGCTCGTCCAGGATGCCGTCAAGCAGGGCTTCGGCAGCTACTACACGCACGGCATCGACGTGCTCGGCTGGCTCACGGGCGCCGTGCCCGAGCCGGCCGTCGCCTACCTGGCCAGCGTGCCGCTCAGCTTGCCGCTCATCGGCCTGACGCAGATCACCCAGTTCCTCGTCAGCATCCGTGCCTCGGGCCTCACCCCCGCCGAGTTCCGTGCGCAGATCAAGAGCGCCACCGGCCACTCGCAGGGCATCATCTCGGCCGTCGTTCTCTCGGCCTCGGGCAGCCTCGAGTCGTTCTACGCCAACGTCGCCAAGGCGCTCGAGCTCCTCTTCCACATCGGCAAGCGTGGTCAGGAGTTCTTCCCCACCCTGGCCATCGACCCGGCGCTCGTCAAGGACACCGTCGACGGCGGCGAGGGCGAGCCTGCGCCCATGCTTTCTGTCTCTGGCCTCGAGCAGACCGTCCTCGAGAAGCACATCCAGAAGACCAACTCGCACCTGCCCGAGTCGCAGGCCGTCTCGATCTCGCTCTTCAACGGCCCCCGCAGCTTCATCGTCACCGGCTACCCCAAGGCTCTCGTCGGTCTCGTAGGCAGCCTGCGCGCCATCCGCGCCGACACGGGCGCCGACCAGGGCAAGGTCCCCTTCAGCAAGCGCAAGGCCGTCTTTCGCATGAACTTCCTGCCCGTCGGCGTCCCCTATCACTCGAGCTACCTCACCGGCGCCACCGACAAGATGCTCCAGGAGGACTATGCCGGACGCACCACCGTCTGGGATGCCTCGGAGCTCAAGGTAGCCGTCAAGAACACCGAGGACGGCTCCGACCTCGCCAGCTACCGCTCCGAGGACATCCTCAAGAGCATTGCCGACCAGATCTTCGTCAAGCACATCTACTGGGCCAAGGCCTCGGACCTCCCCAAGACCGCCACCCACCTCATCGACTTTGGCACCGGCGGTCTCTCGGGCATCGGCGGCCTTTCCGCCCGTATCCTCGAGGGCCGCGGCGTTCGCATCGTCATCCCCAGCGGCACCCACGCCCGCAGCACCGAGCTCTACTCGGCCACCAAGGTCGACTTTGAGGAGCGCTGGGAGGATGTCTGGTCGCCGCGCCTGGTCAGGACCAAGAACGGCATCAAGATCGACACGCCCTTCTCGCGCACCACCGGTCGAGGCGTCCTGATGGTCGGTGGCATGACTCCTACCACCGTCAGCGCCAACATCAATGCCGCCGTCCTCAACGCCGGCTACGTCATCGAGCTGGCCGGTGGTGGACTCCACAGCGAGGCTGGCCTCCGCAAGCGTGTCAACGAGATCCTCGCCCAGCTCGAGCCTGGTAACGGCCTCGAGCTCAACGGTCTCTTCATCGACCAGCGCCGATTCGGCTGGCAGTACCCGCTCTGGGGCCAGATGCGTCGCGAGGGCTTCCCGTGCAAGGGCTTCACCGTCGCTGCCGGTATCCCCTCCACCGAGAAGGCCAAGGAGATCATCGACGGTCTCAAGGCCGCCGGCATCGAGTACGTCGGCTTCAAGCCCGGCACCGCCGATGGCCTCCGCGCGGTGGCTGCCATCGCCGCCGCCAACCCGGACTTCAAGATCATCTGCCAGTGGACCGGTGGTCGTGCCGGTGGCCACCACTCGACCGAGGACTTCCACCAGCCCATCCTGCAGACGTACGCCAGCCTGCGCAAGCAGAAGAACCTCATCCTCGTCGGTGGTTCCGGTTTCGGTGACGCTGAGGGTGTCTGGCCCTACCTCACCGGTGAGTGGTCGGTCAAGCTCGGCTACGCACCCATGCCCTTCTCGGCCTTCCTCTTCGCCTCGTGGATGCTGGTGGCCAAGGAGGCTGCCACCGCCGACGCTGTCAAGCAGCTCCTCGTCGACACGCCCGGCTGTGGCGACGACAAGTGGCAGGACACCTACGGCAAGGGCGCCGGCGGCACCATCACCTGCAACTCTGAGCTCGGCGAGAGCATCAGCTACGTCCACAACCGTGCTGCTGCGCTCTGGCGTCAGCTCGACGACCAGCTCTTCTCCCTGCCGCGTGAGAAGCAGCGCGTCTGGCTCTCGGAGAAGAAGAGCTGGCTCATCGAGCGTCTCAACAAGGACTTCCAGAAGCCTTGGTTCCCGGCCAAGCTCGACGGCTCCGCCCTCATGAACGTCGCCGACATGACCTACGAGGAGGTGACGCGCCGCATGCTCCAGCTCCTCTTCGTCTCTCACCAGAGCCGATGGATCGACCCTTCGCTCAAGAAGCTCTTCGGCGACTGGTGCCGACGTGTCGAGGAGCGCTTCGCCGGCATCGAGACCGCCGGCAAGAAGGAGTCGCTCCTCCAGAGCTACTCGGTGCTCGACAAGCAGCCCGCCAGCTTCGTCGACACCTTCTTCGCCGAGTACACTGGTGCCAAGGAGATCCGCCTGGCTGCCGAGGATGTCGGCTACTTCCTCACCATCTGCCAGCGCCGCGGCCAGAAGCCCGTGCCTTTCATCCCCGAGCTCGGCGACAACTTCCAGACGCTCTTCAAGAAGGACTCGCTCTGGCAGTCTGAGGACCTCGACGCTGTCGTTGGCCGGGATGCCCAGAAGGTCATCATCCTCCAGGGCTCCGTGGCTGTGCGCCACTGCACCAAGGCCAACGTCCCCGCCGGCGAGATGCTCGGCGAGATCGAGCGCGAGCTCGTCGCCAGGGTGCTCGCCCGCTACTACGACAACGACGAGAGCAAGGTGCCCTACGCCGACTACGTCTCGAGCGACCCGCTTGCCATCGAGGAGGCCGAGTTCGCCGCTCGCTCGGGCGTCGACGTGTCGGTGGCCGACAACGTCAAGACCTTCAAGGTCGGCAGCAGCGTTCCTGACACCAAGGAGTGGCTTGAGGTCCTTGCCACCTCGCGCACCAGCTGGCTGCGTGCCCTCCTGCGCAACGTCAGCGTTGTGCAGGGCAAGAACTACGCCGACAACCCGATGCTGCGCATGCTGGCTCCTCGCAAGCACCAGACGGCCAAGATCGCCTATGCCGCCAACGGCGAGCCGATCAGCCTCACTCTGTTCGGTGCTGCCCGCTCCTACGGTCGCCACGATGACAGCTTCAAGGCCATCGAGATCACCAAGTCGCCCGAGTCGGCTCAGATCCAGGTGACGCTCTTTGAGGAGCGTCTTGGCGAGGCCGTCCCTCTGCACTTCTTCTTCACCTACCGCCCCGACCAGCCTTTCGCCTCGATCCACGAGGTCATGGACGGCCGCAACGACCGCATCAAGCAGTTCTACTGGCAGCTCTGGTTCCACGCCGACATGCCCGCCGCTGCCCAGCTTGCGTCGGCCAAGGAGTTCAAGAGCCCCGTCA